AGAGAGAGAGAGAGAGAGAGAGAGAGAGAGAGAGAGAGAGAGAGAGAGAGAGAGAGAGAGAGAGAGAGAGAGATAGAGAGAGAGAGAAAGAGAGAGAGAGAGAGAGAGGGAGAGGGAGGGAGAGAGAGAGGAGAGAGAAGGAGAGATAAGGATTATTGCGTTAGAGATAAGGATTATTTTTCATGCGAAAGATATGCATTGATAGTATACACGCCTCATATGTGCACGTTCCATTATTTATGCTTTGTCTGTCTCGATTTTTCATTTTACAAGATTAACACTTGGACGCGTCGAAGATAATCCCCCTTCTGACTCGTTTCTATTCAAATACTTGAATTATTACTTTTTACCTGAATTATTACCTCTCGATACGCTCGACGATTTTTAAATCCTATTTTCGTCACGGTCGACGTGCGCCGTCATTTCGTCGAATACGGGGTGTCACCCCGTTTCTGTCGTTGCATTTCGCTCGCCCGGCGCAGCGCGGCCGACAGAACAAGAAATAACATACACAGGAAGAAACGAAAAAGAATTACGCACACGGGAGCAACGTGTGGTGCACGGATTCACGGCGTGTAGCCTCCTAGTTTGCCGTTAGAGCCTTTTTGTTGCAAGTGTTGCAACATTCGCATGTGGAATTCACCAGCGAGTTCTTGCTCGAATTTTTTTACGCGCGGGAGCGCGCTACGAAAACTCCACTTCGTCGTTTTACGCGCAGTAAAATAACTTCGTTTTGATGCAATTTCTGCAAGATTAGGTCGGATTATCCTTCTAACCCCCGGTATTTCCTAAAGTTTTGGAACAACGTGTTTTCCGTTAAAATTGCGCATATTGCGAGCCAAGGAGCAATTAATTAAATTGATTAATTGAACGCGTTAGCATAATCACGATTTCTACCGGTGTATATTTATATGTCGACGTTTCGCATATATTAAATCAAATAAAGCTTATTATGAACGTCGGTAGTTTTAGTAACTCTTCCTGGTGCACGTTATTTCATTTATCAAATAATTTAATATTCTATAAACAACGGTAATTGGCATCTTTTTAATTGGTAACAACTAACAATTCATTTAACAAATATAATTTCCAGGCAGATATATGCTGAATGTGAGGAGAAATTAAATTCTGCTGCCGGCGATGTTTGCTTAATCGACTAATAAGCTCGTAACGATATACATTTTATTGACGGTTTATGTAACTTGGAATCGATTCCAACTTGATAAAAATTTGACGGTAAGCCATTACTGCTACAGCTTTCTCGTCTTTCAACGTTAAATATTTTAGTAATTGTTAAATAACGAAATATTTTATTAATAACCACTCAAATTTGAAGAACAAAATTTTGCCATAATTTACAACATATCGACAGATGTGTAGGAGGTGTAGGATCCATCCCACACCATTTTATGTAACTCGTGAATATGGCATGTGCAAGTGCTGCTATTCTCAGTACCTTTCCAGGAACGTAACTAACTTCTTCCGAGTCACTTCGCATTCAGCTTGTAATTACACAAAAAAAAAAAACATTACAAACTAGACTGGGATATAATATACACCCCACGCGACATAATCTGTACAGTGAAGAATAGAAAATACATGATTACGGTAAGTGTCTCTGCCATTGAATGTATATTTATTTGATATAATAACCTGTCATATTAAAACATATGATATAACTTCAATGTCGTTACATTGTAATATTTACATAGCATGGTTTCATTTGTGTTTTCATATTTTTTTACTTTATATAGGCTGCACAGAATGTTTATGTGAATGAATTATTAAAAATTAAATGCGAGAAATGTATATAAATAAGTAAGAGTGATGATTGAAAGTTTATTCATTCAAAGTGAAATTAACTTTTCGTTTATTTCTTTTATTTTTGTAATAATTACAACTTTATTACTAACAAAGAAACCTACGGAAGTGTTCCTTTCCGATTTTGATGAGCTTTTAATATGTTGTTCTCTCGAAAATAAAAATAAGAAACACATTTTTTTTATATGTGCCCATACGCGTGTTAGGGGGTGAAACATCCCTTTGAAAAAAATCGTTTTTTTTCTTTCTGGCTGAATATCTCTAAAGTTATAAAAGATAGAAAAAAAATCGTATAGAAAAAAATGTTTTAAACAAAGGTTGAATGGTTTGAAGAGTAAGGGAGACCCCGGGGTGGAGTCGTCACTACAATTATCTCGAAATCTGTATGTTGTGTTAAGTCGCCATTAATATTGTAAACACTACTTATGGTGCTTATGTGACTAACGGAGTTTAGTGAGATTATATGCCATGTTGTGATTTTAATTAAGGCAAACGTGTTTTCGGAGGTCAAAAGTAAAATTTTTTGCGCGTCGAAAATTTTAAACATTTTAAATATTATTTTCTCTCCGAATCTCGAGATAAGTGATTCTGAAGAGTAATGCATGCTGAACACAAATCCAGTAAAAATTTTTTATTTTCGTTGATTTTTAATATTTCATGAGCGATCAAACTTAAAATATGTGTCCGGGGCGAAGTCGTCACCAAGCCATATCATGGAGACTTTGGGCGAAAATCAAAGTCAAAGAAGCAACAATGGTCGGATTCGGGCCACTTGAATAATATGTGCTGCGTGTGCTCAGAGATGACAGAATAGAGCTGACGAGAAACAGTGCATTTCGTGCGAGCGTAGGGTACATAAGTGTTTGCGCTTTTCTTGCATTTATTTTCCGCCATCGTGTTTTTAATTAATGTTTCCATTTTTTCTATTAAAAAATAATTAATAAAATGTATCCTATCATTTTTCACATGATCAGAATTATACATTTTTATTTAAAATTCAGTCCAAGAATGGAATGACGACTCCGCCCCGGCAATTTTGACATTTCAATTTTTGCACTTTTGTCGTTTTCACTTTATACCAGTTGAACAAAGCGACGTAGACCAAAAATGTCCGTAAAATTTTGTAGCCAAGGGTTCACTCTTTACAACGGTATACCACATTTTACTAAAATTATTTGTTTTGTTGTTAAAAATCGGCACCGAAAAAATAGTGACAAATTCGCCCCGGTCTGTCTTACATCTTATACACTTTTTAAGCAGAAAACGGTAATCCCTTCACCGACTCTCGCCAAATTCAATAACAATCTTTCTTTAAAATGATACTCTATCCATCAAATAACTTAGGGTAAACCGAGGTAAATCGGATCACAGGGTGAATCGGAGGTTCCTCTAAGTTTTAAGACAGTTTTCGTTTAACGAGCTGTTTTATCGTAGCTAATTAGTAATCCGATTCGCCGATTCGCCTAAAAGAGAACTGACATGCTTTTAATTCCCTAGAAATTTCGAATTCGTTTTCGAGGTACGCACAATTTCAGGATACCCAGCGTTATCGCGTTTACATATTATTTTCAATTATATTAAACATACTTTCGACATCCCAAGACGTTCCGCAAAGACGTTCCTGCAGGAACGTTGGAACGTCCGCATCGCGTCGCGGCAAAATTCTAATTTAAGAAAAACGCGACGCACGCGGCGTACGCATACTTATTTTCGCGAGAGGAAGAGAGAAAGGAGAGATACGTCTCTCGAGAAGAAAGCATAACTCGTCGCCCGTCCCCGGATTTTCCGCGCGAGTCGTCCTGGAATATCCAAGCCCAGGAATATAAATTTCTTCGGATGCAAT